AAAAAAGTCCAATCCGATATTTTCAAAAGGATATCGAGGAGGAGTCACTCTTCGTTCTGGGTGCGGAGGGGATGGGTGGAAGAGCGTAGGCTTTAGACAGGCTCTTTTGCAATGGAAGCATTCATCGTGAAAAGTTCTTTTGACGGTGGCGCGTCCTTTAGGTATCCATACCCGTTCCCTCAGCAGGGTGAGTGTATGGTTTACACCACAATGATTATGTGTTTGATGAACGTGTATTATGTAAAGGGTGGTGATGCGACTTTCCCACGGAAGAAAAATTGGTGTAATAGTTTCCGGGGGTAAGTTGGCGTGTTGGATCCGTCCATGGCACTTCCACAAGAGAGTCTTTTCGCATATGAAAAGTTCCAACCGTTTTTTAGTTTCAGTAGAAGGGGCATGCAAAGTCTGTGCTATTCGGAACAATATTGTTTCACTCTTTTGTATCAAAGAGATTTTGGTGTTGCCAAAACGTTCTGCTGCTTGTTTCGACTTCTTTGTGAGGAATTTAAACACAAACATCATGGTCGCAAGTAGGCGAGTCCACGGACTAAAGCGATTGAGGTGCAAGAGTGGATTAGTTGGTTCTTCGGAGGTTTTCTTTCTTCTGGTTCCTGTAGAAAGTTTGAGGTTACGACGTGTTTGTGAGGGGGATATTCTTCTCTACACAGATTTGGTAATGCTTCTTCCAAAGCATCGTTTACGTTTTTTGGCCAATCGTTTTGCCTTTCGATGAAAAACGCTGGACCATTCCACCATGATTCCTGTTTTATCAGTTCCCCGACAGGACAAGCTCGAGTGCCCATGTCCACAGGATTGATTTCGCTAGGGAGGTGCAAGATGGGAACATCGGATGTGTTATCCAAAATTATACTGACCCGATTTTTGACGAAAATTGGCAGACTTTTATTATTCTTTGTCCAATATAGTGCCACAACACTGTCCGTCCATGAGAACTTCTTGGAGATGTGTATGTCAAGTTCTCTCCACGTAAACGAGGAGTTTAGATCCAATCATCAGTGCTGCGATTTCTAAGCATGGAATCGTCATGGAATGGTTTAGTGATGCTAATCGACATTTCGACGTTAATGAAGTTCTTACTGGGTTATCTTCTATTCCTTGTACGAGATAGGCTGCTGCACAATAAGCTACAGAAGATGCATCAGCGAAAACGTGAAGATCGTATTCGTAGTGGGTTCCCTTTCGATGCTCCACTATAAGATGAGGTATCGAGATTCCTTTGATGGTCCAGGGTGACAGGATTTTTTCCCATTGCGCTTCCTTTTCTGAAGATAGGGCCTCATGTGTGCTTTTCTTTCCAGAGAGATTTAAGAAAGGGGGTTACCAGCCAAAACTGTAGGAGAGAACAGGCCGAGGGGGTCATAGATGCTTGCAATATGTTTTAGGACTTTCCTTTTTGTCCAAATCGTTTCTTCTGTAGGCCTTTCCAGGAGTGGTACAATAACAAGGTCGTTGGTCGTATCCCATTCTAAGCCAAGAAGTTTTTGCACCTTTGGGATTACTCCTTTCTCTTCTCGTTCGAAGTAATGGTTGAGCTTTGTAGAATTATTAGCATAAGCGCAAAGATTCATACCGGCTTTGTGAAACAAGGATTTAGACTCCTTGTAGAAGGTAACTCCATCACTGACGCTGTTTGCACCGTAGAAAACATTATCGACGTAGGTGTTGCGAATAATATGCCGTGATATAGCAGTGGTCATAGAGATAAGGTGGAAGTGAATAGTACCCGCAAGCAAAAATGGAGAACACACTAGTCCGAAAGGAACGCGAGCGAAGCGATAAGTGATTAGCTTTGTGGGCATAGTGAAGCGGTGGGATCTTTCAACCATAAAAATCTGGTGTAATCTCGTGATACACGGTTCAGACTAACCATAAGAAAGGCTTCCTCTATGTCGCTTGAGATAAGGATTTCGCATAATCTAGTGCGGATGAGGATTCCAACGAGGTCAGGTAGGAGGACCGGTCCGCGATACAAGTCTTCGTTGAGGCTTAAGCCTCCCTTTATTTTTGCCGAGCCTTCGTATACGCATCTGATTTTCAGATCCTTGTCGTTTTTCTTCATAACGCCATGGTGAGATAAGTAATGACAAGGGTTACGGAGTTCGTCAGTATAGATTCAATTATTTTCCTTGCCAGTTGATCTTCAATTACTGCATGATAAGTTTCCAAGTAAGAAGGATTTTGCTGCAAGTGTTTCAATTGATTGCGAAGACGAGAATACACCAAAAAATAATTGTCGAGTACCTTCGCTGAATCTACCTTAAAGGGTAGCGTGACAACGTACCTTTTTTCATCGGGGTCATAATATATGGTGTCGTTGAAATGTTTAAGGC